AAAACAAGTTAAATGTGAAACAAAGGAGTTGTTATTACAATATCTGGGCAGTCACGACAATATATACATATTTTAACATGTAATAAATAATGAGCAATCTTTAATAATAATTGTAACAATTTTACGTTAGAAAAATATACGCCCCTGAGCATAAGAAAATGAAGGCTAAACATACACAGAATTTTTATCACGAAACATCTATAATCATCAGCAGCATAAGATTACATAGAACAATTAACAACAAAGTACTTAGAGAATAATTACCTGCTAACTAATACCGGTTAAACACTTTTAATTTTTCACTACTTATATATTTTCACCGTGCACCGATCGTCTTACTTTTCACTCTGCGCTGTTCTAACTTTAACTATTTAGGCTTCCTTCCAGAATTCCCTACCTATAAGCGCTTGTTTTTGCGCTTCCTTCTACCAACTGTCAATATTACGTTTTCATTATTATACAACACCCATGTAACAGGTGACGTCGAAGTTGATAAGTATGGTTTTGCACAGTGTTACAGAAATGAATGCAAAAAATTTAGAGGGCTTTAGAACATAAAAAATAAGATGATTTTTTCATATGGGCCATGAGCATATTGTCTTTTGTTTTGAAGAGAAGACGTCAAAGATGATTTTATAATATTAAATTTTAGCCAGAGGTTTTCCAAAAATTATTTCATTTAAATTTGGTTGGGATAAGTTTTTTGACCGCAATTCAAACGCAGTTAATACGTCAATACGTGTATGATAATGTAAAACTTCATTTTACACAAAACCGCTCTTATTAAAACGGTCGGCAATGCCGACAAGAAAAACTCAATTGATGGTTGAAAATTCAACCAGTTTCTGTCCTCAATATTCAGAGTGACACCAAACCAATGAGCAATACTTCTAGCATAGCGTCTTTAGATGAAAATGTACGTACCTTGACATAATTTTGCCTCCCTAAAAATAAACGAGTACCTATTAAACAAAAATAATTTCCTTAAAGTAAAGCAACATTGTACCAACGTACTTGATCCAAATCGATTTATTTTTATTAAAGAAAAGGAATACCTTTTCTGTGTGCATTGAGAAAACTTAATTCTAAAAAAGTTGCCGCATAAAAAGTCACTGGGCGAAATAGTAGGTAGCTAGCGATCTATATCAGATGTTCAAAAACTGACAGCGCTTTCAAAATATTACCTGTACCAAATTCTAATGGAGCACAAAGTTTTTTGAAAAAAATATGGTAAATACATTATTCTAAAAAACCATCCTTGGTGCCCAGCACCCATGGTGCTATAAGTTTAGTTAAATCCGAAGTCAGTTGAACATGTATAAAAACGTCTGGCAATAAAATTTAATGAGTTCCATAGGTGTCCTTAAAAAAGTTTTCTGCTAAAGGTAACAAATTATAATAATTTTTATATAATGTGTAAAAAATTTCTATTATTTGTTCATTTGATAAACAACATATTTTAATTATTTATGTCCTCTAACAATTTTTTTATATTCATGGTGAATTTCGTTTTATTCCGTTTCAAAAGGTCTCCAAAATGCCATGTTGTAATAATATTAGGAAACAAAAAATATCCCTCTTATTTCTCCCTTTTGCAATTGTAATATGAATGATTAATAGAAGGTGCTTATAATAAATTAAAATTACCTGAATCACACCAAATTCCGCATTGCTGCACTGCACTACTAGGCCATTTGTTGACAACCGAATTTATGGCTAGGTCGCTCAGTACGGATGTGTTTGTGCCGCGTTTGCCCGCACGCTCATTCTCCAGACCAGTATATGGGTATGGCTATATGTATGGTATAAATATGGGAATAAGTTTTTCAAATATTTCAATGTCGAGTTGCTGTGTCAGCGACCAAACTTGGTAGATACTGCCAACCTCTTGGTTTTTTAATTAAGATCGGAAAGACTATAACTCCATGTATTCGGAATATTGGAGAACATTGTGTAAGTAATGTTATTCATGGTTTTGATTGTAATAGGCTATTACTGAATTTAGAACAAATTTGTTGTCATAAAAAACTGTTAATATCGTAGTCAAGGTGCAAGGGAAACGCATTAAGGACTGATATTTTGAGTACCAGTTGGTTAACGAATCATATGGTCATACTGTCAATAATTAAATAGCAGAAATTGTTTACTAACATTGTTACAAAGCTACTTATGACGTAGACTTGATCTACCTGTCCATAAGCTTGTGACTGTTTTTTGAAAAAAAGCATTATTTAGATGCTGCTTTTTACCAACGCATCGCTGCAACAGACTAATTAAATTCGTGACTTTGCAAATGTTCTTTGAAAGATCCAAGTATCTTTTGGCATCCAGTTCGGAGAGTAGAATGGATGATATTGCATTTCAAATTTCAGTGTGGACCGAGCTTTAATTCCTTCACTAGCATGTGACTGTGCTAACCATAATTTCATTTTTTTTAAGTGTACTTATACAAAGAACAATGATTGTTTCTTACATTCCCAAGTTAGAGATAGGCGGACTAGGTGTCTTAAAAGCTATTACGGGATTAAATTGAAAATACGATACAAAGAAATTCTGTAAACGTTTTCAAAATAGGGCAATTTAAAAAAATTCTGTTATTTAATAACTCTCCCTTTAAATCCATCAATTAATCCAATAGTAGTGAAATTGAAATAAAATCAGAATGTTACAAAAACCCACTTTTATTTTCTAGGTGACGGTATGGGGAGACTACGGACGGATCGAGGGAAAGAAAGTATTCATGGGCGTAGCGCAGATCATGCTGGACGACCTGAACCTCAGCAACATCGTCATAGGCTGGTACAAATTATTCGGCACCACATCCCTGGTTAGTGGACCCCCTTCTCTTGGTCTATCTCGTCGCAGCTCCGTGGCTAGTTTAGATTCCCTCAAATTTTAACCCCCACCATCACAGAATCCCTCATTCGATCACCCATACTAGAATGCATCTAAGAGTATGCAAGAACTGATCCCAGTTCCGTAACTGATTATTTCGAACGACTCTCTTCTTGCATATCTCGTACGTGTCATGAATCATATCATCGCATCTCTCACCGACCCTGTAGCTGCGCATAGCCGTCGATGGTCTCTTCCACTATGCATAGGTACGGACCCTGTTTCTTTTCATATCAGTGACCTCTCGATGTGCTTTTGTGTATCTCTGTGCATACTGTCGTTTTATGAAGGTATGGGTGGGTTAGCCCTAAATGAGATCAATTTGAATAGTTTACCTTTTTCGATAGAGACTAAAACTAGATCACTTAATTCTAGAATATGGGCACTCTTAACCCACATTTGAAACAGTATATTAGTGACAAAATGAGTGGAATAATTTCCAGGTTACCACTTTCGGTTTAGATTTCTTAAACGTTCCAAGAGACATTTCGCTCCCTTCAGAACAAACTCTGAATCTAGAGATTAAGTTAACAGGTACAATTACATTGAATTGTTTCCAGATAGTTTTAAGCCCTCATCTCGTTGATATTGTCTTGCCTTCTATGGATTTATATTCCTTCTTTGAGGTCATGACCAAAATATTCTTGATCAAAAGATAATTTCAATGGAGATGAGGATTTAGAAGTACCTGGAATTTCAAGGACCGGAACGATTGCAAGCAAGTCATAGGGGCGCGATGAATCACGAAGAAAAAGAACAAGTTCTTGATCTTGTGTGCACAGACCAAATATAAGTAACTACCAAAGGACTTTACCTCCAAATTCAGAATGTCTTCTGAAGGCAGTGAAGACAGTGATATGTTACTCGAAGTGTCAAGAACCGACAACATGGAACCAGGAAATTGTTCAAATATTGATAGCTGTTATGAAACCTGCCAACTGAAAATGTATTGCTGTTTCATAAGAAAATAAAAGTTTTATTAACTATTATCAAGCAGCTAGGGTTGACAACTGCCACTTACCCATCAAATGGTGCTCATACACTAGAATTACTCGGAATATTATCTACAAACAATAGTCACAAATGTCATGTAGACAATCGTATGAGTTTTGATCAAGGAAACCTGCGTATGTTACCAAACCATACGCAAATTATCTTATTCCTTTTTTATTCTTTTAATTGCAAAAGTTAGATCAAACGAACTTACCTTAAATAAAGTTGAATTAGAATTATATGTGCTCATAGTCCGTATATATCAATGCGATTAACCACATAGTCCACCTTTGAGAGACTGTCGTTCACCATGTTTAATGTACAGACTTGCGCATGCGTTCCCTGTACTTACCCATCTTCTTCAGTATAGATTGTTATTTTTCAAAGACAAACATATATGTAATTGCAACAGTAGGTTAATGTATGACAGTGAACTTTTCGCTTTAAGATGAGTTCATTATTTGATCCTCCAGTCCGTCCTGTTCTTCAATATCACTGAGATTAATAACAATATATACTCACATACGGATTAAAGATTGATAAAGAAAAACAAATTATCAAACTCAACAGAAATCTCGCAGATATGTGAAAATAAAGCAAAATCTTCCATTTGAAATATATTATAATGAATTTAGCATTTGTGGTACTTAGTATGATAATGTATAATAGAGTCGACAACGAGTGTGTTTTTATATATTGGATATTTTTGAAAAACATTAAATTAATGAAGTAAATCCTTACGCCAAAAGGAGCAGTCAAGGGTTATTTTTTATGAAAATGGTTTTACCTAACCAAAAAACTCATACTGAAAGCAGAATCTTCTTTGAAAATAGAAACGTCAATATTAGATGACGAAACATCCAACTTGTTCTCTTCAAAGTGTGAGATCATTGTTTAATTAGTGCATTATGTAGTCTGTTGTCGGTTGATACAGAGTTTTCCGAATTGAATATATTAGGCTTGTTTCGTTTCTGTCAGCGGACCTAGTCCTAGATCGGTTCAGAATAGTTATCCAAGTGAATGTTCTTATGAATGGAATGGTCAACTGATTTGAACCGTTCTCTGTCGGAACCAAAACATGCTTATACTTCAATGCCCTGCTCCAGCATTGTATTAGTCCAATCCAACACGGCTTCGTTGTTAAAGTTTAAGTAAAGTAACATCGTTCAAAATGTTTAATACCGCATCTAATGAAGCCGACACCTAACTTTCATGTGCACTTTTAAATTTCTATATACTTTTTCCAGATTCCATCTCAATAAAAATATAATAATATAACCTACAGCGTCCTGCTCCGGTATTGGATTAATAGCATACAGGGTGATTCATTAACAATGAGAAAGTCGAAAGCTGAAGATACTACACGTGAAATGGTGACCATTGGCGCAAACATGCCTTATCCGAAAGTTGATAGTTTCGGAAATACAGGGTGTTGAAAGTTAAAATTTTAAATCGTTTTTTTGCGATTATTCTGAAAATATGTAGGTTAGGAACTTGAAAATTTGTGAAACTATATTTTTTTAGGCGACGAATAAGATGCGTGTTGTAATTTCAGCATTGCTCATAGAGGGCGCCACTTACGACCAATTTTACCGAAAATTTAGTTAATAACTTTTTACCCTGTATATTTAACATGAAACTTGATTCAAAACCTGAAAGAGCTATCATTTTTCCATTAATTATGTACTCTTGTTTCATTTCGGTATCTCGATCCGTTTTCGAGAAAAATCGATTTAACGAACACTATGTTTTGATAATATGAGAAATTAAAAGCGAAACAAACCAAGTGTTTCTTCGTGTTATTACAACAATTAACAATAAAACAAATAAAATACGTAATTATGATTTAAAGTAATTGTTCGAAGAATCCACCGTTGACACTGATACACTTTACACGTTTTCTGAGAGATCTTCGAGTTTGAAACAACATATTGGGATTGCGTCTGACTTCGTTGGCAGCGATTTGTATTCTTTGCCACAACTCTTCACACGAGCCAATAGATTCTTTGTAAACTATATCTTTCATTCGAGACCAAATAGAAAAATCAAGAGGATTGAAGTCCGGACTTCTGGATGGCCAAGCAAAAATGCTTACATGGCCAATCCAGCGATTTGGAAAAACTGCATCTAAATATGCACGCACTGGCCAAGAAAAATGCAGTGGAGCTCCGTCGTACATGAACCACATGTTTCTTCTTAAATAAAGTGGAATTTCTTCAAGCCGTGGAAGCATTTTTACTTGGCTACCCAGAAGTCCGGACTTCAATCCTCTTCATATTTCTATTTGGAAGAATCTGTTGGTTTGTTTGAAGAGTTGTGGCAAAGAATACCAATCGCTGTCAACGAAGTCAAACGCAATCCCAATATGTTGTTTCAAACTCGGAGATCTCTCAGAAAACGTTGTTTAAAGTGTGTAAATGTCAACGGTGGATTCTTCGAACACTGACTTTAAATCATAATTACGAATTTCATTTGTTTTATTGTTAATTGTTGTAATAACATGAAGAAACACTTGTTTGTTTCGCTTTTAATTTCTCGTATTATCAAAACATAGTGTTCCTTAAATAGATTTTTCTCGAAAACGGATCGAGATACCGATATGAAACAAGAATACACAATTAATGGAAAAATGATTGCTCTTTCAGGTTTTGAATCAAGTTTTATGTTAGACATACAGGGTAATAAGTTATTAACTAAATTTTCGGTAAAACTAGTGGTAAGTGGCGCCCTCTATGAGCAATGCTGAAATTACAACACGCATCTTATTCGTCGCTTAAAAAAATATAGTTTCACAAATTTTCAAGTTCCTAAACTACATATTTTCAGAATANATAAACCACGCCAGGTTCGGTCGCTGCTTGAAGCCGTAAGAATCCATAACTCATAGTTTGCAACAATTATACTGAGGTGTCTAATCGCAGTAGATACGCACGTCAAAAACACACGACGATCTACCACACACGGGTCTCTATTTTAAACATGATGCACAATAGTTATTCAGAGGCGGAATGCGTTGTAATCTCAGTGATATCGAAGAATTAGATGTAAAATATTATTGAAAATCTTCATAGTTGTATGCTGAATTCACACATAAATAGTAGGGACATATTTGTGTGTTTTCCAAGTTTAAGTTATACAGAACGTTCGTAAATGATTACAAGTCACGTGACCAATAATATTGATTGGAAAAGTAATTATATTTCCTTCACGTTGGCACAAAATTTCAATAAAATTAAGACAACAAGTTCAAGATTACATTAAAACACAATATTCTGTTTCATTGGCTGTGATTGGTGTAATTTTTTACGAAATTCTATTCAACTAATCAGCAATTGCATTATCTCGGGCGTAGACGAAATGGTTTGTCATTGTTCATTGGAAACTAATCATTAATATTGATGACGCCAAGATTTAGGAAATTTTCGTTACCAGTACCAACCGTGCAATGTTGGGTTGTGACAAACTTTTAGGAGAGCTTTATCTTGTCAAAACTAGCGAAACATATCCTGACATGATTCGTAAGAGATCCTTGATCCTTCAAATGTTAGACATGATATATACTTTTTTATCGTTAGGTACATGATTTGACCTAAAATTAATAAATGGCATCGGAATTAAGAGGAACTTTTGGGATTTCACCTGTGAAAAAACGTATTTAACGTGCCCAAGAATTTTCTCATAGAGACTTGAACCTTTCTTTTGTGGCTCGTCGGATACAACTTCCACCTCAGTAAAACGATGTTTACAATGCTACTAGTGACGAAAATTACCTTAATTTATTAAAGTTTAATAGCAGTTTGCGTTTATTTGAATGATTGTTGATTAAACTTTTTGATAATTACGCATTTTTTAATTGTTGAGAAATTGGAATAGAATAATTGGTTTTTATCTAAGATCTACTGAGAGTCTTTGCAAGAAAAACAATTTTCCTTGGACAAAAAACACCCCTTAGGTCTCTCCTAATTTCCAAAGGTCAGTTTTGTTTAAATTAAAGTCACTGTTGATGTTAGA